CACTACCATCACCACTATCCATTTCCAGAAGTTTTTTATCTTCCCCAACTAAACCTCTGAACTCATTAAACAATAACTCCATTCCCCCTTGTCTGGCTCCTGGCAACCACAACTCTACTTTCTGTCTCTATGAATTTGACTATTTTAGATAACTCATATAAGTGGAATCATATAGTATTTGTCGTTTTGTGACTGACATTTCAGTTAGCATGTTTTCAAGTTTCATCCACGTTGTAGCAAACGTCAAAATTTCCTACCTTTTTTTTTTTTTTTTTTGCCTAGGCTAGAGTGAGTGCCATGGCGTCAGCCTAGCTCACAGCAACCTCAAACTCCTGGGCTCAAGCAATCCTTCTGTCTCAGCCTCCCAAGTAGCTGGGACTACAGGCATGAGCCACCATGCCTGGCTAATTTTTTCTATATATATTAGTTGGCCAATTAGTTTCTTTCTATTTATAGTAGAGACGGGGTCTCACTGTTGCTCAGGCTGGTTTCGAACTCCCGACCTCGAGCAATCCACCCGCCTCGGCCTCCCAGAGAGCTAGGATTACAGGCGTGAGCCACCGCGCCTGGCCTAAAATTTCCTACCTTTTTAAGGCTGAACAATATTGCATTGTATGTATAAACCACCTTTTGTTTGCCCATTTATCCATCAATGGACACATGAGTTGTTTCCTTTTGGCTATTGTGAATAATGGTGCTATGAACAAATATCTATTCAGGTCCCTGCTTTTATTTATTTTGGGCATAAGCCTAGAAGAGAAATTGTTGGCCCATGTAGTAATTCTATGTTTAATTTTTTGAGGAATTGCCACCCCATTTTCCACAGCGGCTGCATCATCTTACATTCCTACCAGCAATGCACAAGTATTCCAATTTCTGTACATACTTGCCAGCTCTTATTTATTTATTTAATAATAGCCTTCTTGATGGGTGCATCTCATTGTGGTTTTTATTAGCATTTCCACTGGGAGCGTTCATAAGGTCAGGAAATCCCAGATCCCTTCATCACAGAGCAGCTGGTCCAGTGAAAGGTACGTGGGTATGGGGGTGGCTCCTACACCACCCTTAATCCTACCCCCTTTTCCCAAGAGCTGAGCAGAGGCTCAGCCACCTGCCGCTGTCCCTGTGCTTCTCCCTCAGGTCCCTGGGTACTCTCCAGCCTGTTGAACTCGGTAGGGGGTGATCAGGAAGCCTGAGTTTGGAAAAATCAAGGGGGGAACAGGTAAGGGGAAGAATGCAGACAAAGAAGTGCTTCTGAGGGGCGGCCATCAGCGTGGGCAGGAAGCGTCGGCCCAGAGCCTGGAGGGGCACCAGGCAGCAGAGAGCAACGGCATCAACAAAATGACATTCCCAGCCCTCCGGCCTCACAGGGTAGAACTTGGACAGTTTTCTCTGTGATGCTCAAGGAAGCCCTGGGAGGGAGCAAAGAAGACAGGCAGGGATGATCCTGCTGTTTTTACAAATGAAGACCCAGAACTAAAGCACCTGCCTTCAAGATCACAAGAAAAGTTAGTCTCAGGGATGAGAGGAGAACCCAAGACCAGGGTACTTCCTACTGGGGGTAGGGCAGAACTATGGGGACACCAAGGATGGATTCTGAGAGCATGTCATAAAACAAAAAAGCAAACAGAGGCGCATAGAGGGGAACTGATTTGCCTAGAGACACACAGCGAGTGGGAAGGCCGACAGAGTCAGAGGTAATGATCATTGTTCCTACGGCTTCTTCCTGGCCATATGAACTGGCCACACTGTCTCCAAATACACTGTGACATTGTTGTGCCCTGTCTCCTCTTGGTGGCCCTGGCACACATCTTGTCCTTGGAGTGCCACGTTCTTCTGGGTTCCAGTCTTTGGACCCTATCACCCACGACAATGGTGCCCTGCAGATTCCTCCACCGCACAGCCTGGGTACAGGTCCTGAAGCCCAGACAAAGGCTGCAGCCACCTTCCCTGCCCGGGGACTCTGCCAAAGAAGGAAATGAGGCTAGTCTGGCATGACCGGCTCAGCCAGACAAACCTCATTTCCTTTCTGACAGGGTAAGAAGTTCCAGTTGTAAAAAGAAATCAGCCCCTAGGAATGTCTGAACTCCCAGCTCCTGGAAGAAATAAGAGGGGAGCCTGGGTGTGTGGTAGAAACCTGTCGATCCCCTAGAATCTGGTCATCTTCTCATCCCCCCTACCCCCAGCACACTCAAGCTGGCCTCTGTCGGGAGCAGCAAACACTCCGTGCCTGGGCAGCTCCACTCCTAGGCCTCCACGGCAGCCACCTCCTGGGTACCACGGCCCTGCCTCCAAAGGACAGCGGTAGGTCAGTGATTTAGCATGCAGGTCACACTCTCCCGCAGAAGAGAGGTAGTCTATGTGGGGTCGGGTGCCCACCAAACCCATTCTCATGATTCCTGGGCTCTGCCTGGCCCAGACTCGGTTCTTCTGGGTCCTGTGTAAAGTGGGAGACTAGAGACTTCTCGAGGACGGCCAATTCCAGGAGCCTATCCTTGGTCCCCTTCCTTCCACCCTACCTCCCTCACTGGAGCCCATGGAGCAGGGGCCAACCTCCTCCCTCCCCAAGGCTGCCGTTCCAATCACCTTCGCTCCAATCACCTTCGCTCTGGTGCGGTCCTGAGTGCCTCCAGAGGAGGAGCGGCCCCTTACCCTGAGGTTCACCCACCCAACTGCCCCGTAGCGAGGTTCAAGTCGTGTGCCCTAGAAGAGGAAAAAGGAGACCCGCACGTGGGGGTGTGCGTATGTCTATCTGTGTAATGCACACACGGCAGTCTGTAGGCATACGTCAACACATGTGCCCACATGCATTTTAAAAAATGAAACAAGCATTTATCATACTTATAATGCTTATTATGAGCCAGGCATGTTCTTAGTGTTTTGTAAGTACAGTAATAACTCACTTAGTCTTCAGGATTTGAACCTAGGCATGCTGGATAGGCACATGTCAGGTGTGGTGTGCATGTTAGGATGTATGCATCTGTGTGGGTATGTGTGTCTTCCCAGAGGGAAGGGTGAACTTTCTTTTCACGTTGTGTGTTCCACTTACCCAGACCTTACAGTTGCAAAGTCCTGTGTGGTACTGATATAATAAATAATAAAAAAAATACATATTTGGTTTCTGTTCCAGGTTCCTGGCACAGAGCTCTAACACCCTTATAATTTCCTGAGCAATAGGGGTGCTAGGAGAATCTTTTGTGCTATTATTTGGTCTTTGACCGTGGTTCCTGAGAGAGCTCCTAATCCCTTGGAATTTCCTGGATGATAGGAGCATCTTTTGTTCTAATGAAGTGACTCTGGGTGGGCTTCTGGGTGGGGTCTGGTCACCAAAAAGACCAAGCCATGATTAGAAGCTTGAAACTTTCAGCCTCACCTCTCATCTTCCAGGAAAGGGAGCGGGGCTGAAGGTCAAGTTGACCAGCAATGGCCAGAGATGTAATCAATTATGCCTATATGACGAGCCTCTATTAAAAATGCAGCTGGACACGGGAGGTGCTTAGAGGATGGTGCACCTGGAGAGGTCATGGAAGATCCTCTCCCCTTCCCACACCACGCCTTGCCTTATGCATCTCTCCATTTGGCTGTTCATCTGTGTCCTTTGTAAATCAAACCTGAGGTAGGGGCAAGGGGAACCCCAATTCATAGCTGGTCTGTCGCAAGTACAGATCACAACTATAGCCAGGCGTTGTGGTGCACACCTGTCACCCCAGCTACTTGGGAGGCTGAGGTGGGAGAATCCCTTGAGCCTAGGAGTTTGAGGCCAGCCTGGTCAACATTGCAAGACCCTATCTCTAAAAAATAAAGAAAATTTTAAAAGGAAGTATAGGTAACAACCTACTACCTGTGACTGGCATGTGAAGTGGGAGCAATCTTGTGAGACTGAACCCTCAACCTGTGTGATCTGCTGCAATTTCTAGGTAGATAGTGTCAGAATTGAGTTAAATTGTAGGGCACCCAGGTGTCCACTGGAGAGTTGCTTCTTGGTGGGGAGAAATCCCCACACATCTGGGGTCAAAGTGAAGGGTTGAGAGCAGTAGTGTGTGAGAAGAGAAGTAAAAATACTTTGGTTTTTCATCAGACACTATAAGGTAGCACTTCGTCCCAAGGACCAGAATATGCATCCTGTTTGAAGGTCAGATCTGAACCCAAGGCCACCTCTGCTAGGGCCTGAGGCCACCAGGGATCCCTCCAGCAGTCACACGGATGGATGGAGGCAGCTGGATGGCCCTGGAGTGGCTACAGGGGCTGCCCTGCCTGTTCCCATTTCCCAAGTGATTCCTGCCTTCATGGCTTCATGCCAGCATGGCCCCTCACCTGGACAGCACCTGTCCTGCACACTGGTTTCCTCTGGCCCATGTCTGTGAGTGCCAGTTCAATCCAACCAGCATCTGAGAGGCTGCTGGTGCCTGACCCAGGGCTACGGAGCAGATGCCTGGAGCACCTACCATCTTAAGGGCCTAGGTAGCAACTAGGACTCTAAAGAGCAAAAATGACAAGAAACTTTGTTTTGGATAATTCCATTTAAGTTCCACTGTGAACACCTTGTACAAATGGCTCTGAGATCTATATCTGAACTATCCTGGCAATTGTTAAAAACCATCCTCTGCAATTGTCAAAAAAAAAAAAGCAAAAGGTAGCCAGAGAACTGCTAGGGATAAAAATTCTACTTTGAAATGGCATTAGCTACTTCGTAGTGAGTACCTGTGAGGCATCAGTCACTGTTTTAGACATATCATCTCTTTTAAGACTCAAAAAGTCTCTATGTGTTATCATTCCCATTTCACAGATAAGAAAATGAGTTTCAGATGGGGAAATGTCTGATTCCAGGGAGGCTTGTGTGCTGTGTAGAGCACAGCTGAGGAGACGGCCTTGTCAGAAGTACAGGTCACAACTACAGCCGGGTGTGGTGGTGCATGCCTGTTGTCCCAGCTACAGCCACCTGCCCCCCACCAAGCCTCCCCACAACCATGATACCCCTTGAACAAGGCAAAGAGAAACGATTTGTGGTTACAAAGATAGGGTCATTTATTCACGTTATATTACCAGATTTTAAAGGTAAAAATACACTTCTGTTTTGAACACCAAGGTCAAATTCCCCCCCAACACACAATGGTAAATACACACATTTGCATACACAGGAAATCAAAATACATAGCACAACAAGTCTGTAGGACACGAAAGCTGTCATCCTGGCTGTGTGGGGCCCCCCCAGGCCCAGCCCAGCGGTCAGCAGACACCCTGCTCAGGCTGAGGGCCAGTGCAGCATTGCCTTTCCCCTCCTGTGCCACCTCTGTCCTCTGACCTTTCCCAAAGGCCACATCACACAGCATCACCAGCAATGGGATGGACAGGAACAGAGAAAGGCACAGCACATGACAACATCATGGTCATAACTCCCAAGTGAAAGAAATGCTCCCCGCACCCTCAGCCCTGGCAGCCCCTACTGAGGAAAGAGGGCCCGCAGCACCTCGTGGCCCAGGCAAGTGTCCAGGCCTAACGTGCCTCGCCCCCCCCCCCGCCCGAGTGCACTGAAAGGTCAGCAAATGGGGGGACGGGTGAAGCGGTATTTCCCTTGGTTCTGAGAATGAGCCAAATACTTGATATGAACAAAAACGTAATGAAAAAAAGAAAGAAAAAAGAAAAGGTAGAATTCTGTTTTAAGAGTAAAGTAAGTAACAGGGAAGTTACCACTCAGGGCATTTGTCTCCTTTCTTTTAAGGCACTTTGGAAAAGTCAGAATCTGGGGACAGAGAGGCCTTCATTCTTTGCATTTCCCAACACCCTCTCTTTAGTGCAGTCTTTCCTGGTTTTAATAACATTCTTATTACAGAGTGGGGAACTGACAGAGGAATACTTTTTGCATAGCCCAGCTGCTTCTGCAGTAGAAAATAATTCTTAACCAATACAAAGGCTTCTGGAAAGAGAACCAAGTTACCATGTGAGATGCTGGAAGCATTAAAGGCACAGATAAGACCAGGGCCAGGCACCCGCCCAGCCTCCACACTAAGGGCTGGTGCCCAGGAGGGCAGTGGTTGGGGTCGGCCACGAGCAGAGGGCTCAACCCTGTGATTAGGCAGCGGAGTTTCAGGACCTCTGCCCAGGCTGGACCTGGCCAAGGTACTCAGCAAAGGAAGTGCCTCGTGCCATCTCACCCTAGGTGGCTAAATGTCTCCCAGCAGAGGTGGGCTTACGAAAGACATCCCTGTGGATGAGCCTCACTGGGGTGGGAGCACCTGCTAAAAACCTGAGGTGGAATGGGAGGCTTTAGGCACCAGAGTTCTTGGGAGGGAGTTGGGGTGTGGGTTCCGCTGAACTTCCTTCTAGATTGCTAATTAAAAGGCACATTCATGCTGGAGAATGAATAGTCTGTTTGACCCTGAGTGCCACAGTCAAGTTTTAGGGAACAGGCAAGAGGCAAAGGAACAAAAAGGGAGAGGAAGGAAGGAGAAAGACAGGCCAAGCGAGGAAGGAGGAAGAAGGAGAACTGGTAATGCAGTGTGGGCTGGGGAGTGTAGCTGGCAGAGCCTCCCAGGGAGGTGGCCCCAGCTGCCAGAAAGGAGGTTCCCTCCACCTGGGGGAGGTATGAAGGGCTGGTAAACAACCTGGTCGTGTTATGCTGTTATTTACAACCCCACAGCCTAGGGCCCTGAGGAGGGGTCAGTCCAAGGAGGTTGAGGTTCCCTCCACCCTGCCCACCAGGGGAGAGGGGGAGTTCTGCAGGCTTGTGTCTCCCAGGTCTCTGTCCCAGAGGTCTGGCAGGATAATGCTGACTGGAAGGCCCTGCCTGCCAAGGGACCAGAAGGTGATCTTGCTCTTCATAAAACCTGGCCTGCCAGCTAAATCATAGGCCTATGTGTGGCCACTACAGCATACATTATTATTTTTCCCTAAAAAAATGCTCAATCCCCTCTCTACATTTAAAACACCACAATAAAAATACACAGGAAATTCAAGTTTACATAGCATGCCCAAGAAAAATAAATTGTCATGACTGAACACTAAACAGCTATGCAAATTTGGATCAACACAAAATCAAGCTAGATCATATTAGAACTCAATTTTTTCTTTCTTTAAAATACTACAAACTGCTATTAAAAAAATCTTTACATTCAGAAATCAGACAGTCTGGAGAGAGACCACTGAATGTGCGAATACCCAAGGCTTTTGCTCTGTTGGCTGAAGTTACCTTGGAATTCACACATAAGCAGGACAAAAGGTCCAAGGCTCAAGTTCTAAAATTCTTTTTCTAAGACAGACAGACAGACAGACACACACGCACACACACACACACACACACACACAAAGTGATTGTAATAGTTGCATACCACTGAAAGAAGCTGGGGGGGCATGAAATAACTGAAATTTTGTGTTTTTCTGTTAAAATATGATAACCAAAAAATATCACACCAACCCAATTTTAGCAGCACTCTCCCATTTTTCATTCAGTAATGAAAACACCATAATTTAGAGAAAGTCTGTCCTATTTCACAACAATTTAGCAGTATTATCACTGGAAATGAGTCCCACAGTCACCAAATTTTGGGCTGTGTACAGTTCTCTTTGGGGTGACACTGTGAACACGTCAAGAATGGCCCTCAAAGGCTGACAGTTTCTATAATGACAAAAGCCTCGTAGAGCTAAGAAGTCACATGCCAAGCCAAGTTGGAGGCAAAATATGTCACTTGTCCCGGTCATCTGGAAAGGCATCTGAATGATGAGCGAAGGGGACCTGTCACTCAGATTGGTAAAAATGAGGGACCAGCCCAGCAGATTGGCAGAGACACACAGCGAGGGTCCCTGGCTATTTTCAGGTCTCTTATTCGCGTACCAAAACGCTAGCTTGGTGTCCCGATCTCCACTGTGATTTGGGTATACAATGGGTATTTCTGTATTTCCAATACCTCATAGGTGAGTGAGTTCAAACCATCAGAGAGCATTGTCTCCTTTGTGTGTGCAATTCGGTCAAACCTAGAAGGAAAAAGGGGGCAAAGGGATGGTGTCAAAACAAAAATCCTAACAAGAAATCATTAACCGTACTCCCCTGCCTCCCAGTTTCCCTTGAGGCACAGAGCCTTCTCCAGAGCCTCCTTTCTGCCGCCTACCTTCCCCATCCTAACGGGGAACGAAGGAATAAGAATAAACGTAGAACGTACCTCTGAGGATTGGGTTCATTTTTCTTGTCTCTTGAGTGGCGAATCATGCGACACCTCCCAACCACAGCATTTGGGCGAGAGATAGACATGCCTCTAAAAACCAATCTGCAAAGAGTAGGGGGAAAAGTCACAGTCACAGAGAGAGTCCCAGCTGCAAGACTGTTACCCTAAACCACCCTGCTTTGGGTTCTCACTCAGCTCACACCCAGCATCACGCCAGGACCCAGCACAGCACAACCTTGGTTAAAACTCACACTCCTACTCCATGTCCTTTCACAACTGGTGTGCTGCAGTTTGCGGGGTTGCCTACCATGTGCCAGGCACTGGGGTGTCAGCCCTCACAAAACTTACAGGGTGGGTGCTCAGAACATAAGGCCTTCGGTGCCAGGACAGAGGTGAGGAGAGGAAGATGGGGCTGGGGGCACGGAGGAAGGAGCAACCAACTCTGCCAGAGCCGACTGGATAGAGCCAAGTTGTGAGGATGAACAGGTGTCTGCCAGAGCACGCTGGGCGGCCAGGACAGCACACGCAGGGGCACGGAGGTGACAGCAAACATGGTGCCCTCAGGGAGCAACATAAATTTCTGGGGACTGGTGACAAGGGTCTGGGGTGGGAAGTGGCAAGTGATGAGGCTGAAGAGAAGAGCAAGGCCTTCTCGGACACCCAGCAGTGCCAGTGTCTGAAAGGGATATAACGTGTGGTGCTTCCCCACGTGATTTTGGCCATGGGGAAGTCTTTCTGGTAAGCAGTATAAGCATGGAGGGCAGAGAACAAGACTAGGGGCAGCCAGAACAGGGTGGAGGATTCTGTGTTGGTTCAGGGAAAAGGAATGAAGACCAAAGTCAAAGCCCCAACAGCAGAAATAACACAGTTGGTTAAGAGGCAGGACTGGTTGCTCTTGGATGACTTCAAGGTTTCTGGCCTTGTCTCCCCCAAGTGCTGATCCTGGTGCCTGGCATATGGTAAGTAAGTCACGATAAAAGTTAGGTCTTTTCTCTTTCAAGACAGTTGGTCCACACATCTCTCATCTTTCTAGTCCCACCACCTTAGTGTGTCGGTTCTCAATGGCCCCTTGCCCCCCAGCCATTCTGACCATTCAGGGCTGTGTTATCCTATCAACCCCACACTCTATCATATCGGTCCAGAGTGTTTGCCCAGGGCTGGATCTGTGGAAGCAGGTTTGCTTCTGTCTGGACCCTATGTTCAGGTTTTCAGTGTCCACCTCATTGGGCCTGCCTGGCATAGTGCTCTACATGCAGCAGATGCTCACTAAGTGCATGCATGCTTAATAACCAACCTGCATATTCTAAAGTTCAACTCTCCTTCCAGGCCTATATTAAAGACTTGGGTCTATGTCAAGTTCTTACACAATGGTAATGCTGAATGACTTAGCTGTTGCTCTGACAGACTCCTGTTAATTGAGCAAATAAATGCACTCCACTTAAGATAGGCTGCACAAGGGCGTGTTCTGATATAAAACTCAGTGACGAGTTCAGACTGGTTTGCAGAGGGAGAAGATGCTTCTTTTTGACAGCTGAGGTTGAAGCCTCCATTTCCAGAGATGGCTGAGCAGAACAACGTGGTTTCAAAGGCCACTGATAAACTCTGGAAGGCCGAGGCCAGAGGATTACTTGAGCTCAGGAGTTCTGAGACCAGCCTGAGCAGGAGTGAGACTCCATGTCTACTAAAAATAGAAAAATTAGCTGGGCATATGATGAGAGCCTATAGTCCCAGCTATTCGGGAGGCTGAGGCAAGAGGATTGATTGAGCCCAGGAGTTGGAGGTTGCAGTAAGCTACGATGATAGCACTGCATTCTACCCAGGGCAATAGAGCAAGACTCTGCCACACACACACACACAAAAAAGCCACTGATAGATAGTTTTAACTAGCTGTAAAGACAACCTACACGATAAAGGTTTACCAGCTTAAAAAGAGCCCTGGGATATGGATGGGCCTTGATTGGCCATGGCATGATGGTTGTTAGGGCCAGATGGGTCTTCGTTATCCTCTTTTGTGTATGTTAAAATGACTTCACAATAAGCTGTGCATGGTGGCACACACCTGTAGTCCCAGCTACTGGGAGGCTGAGGTTGGAGAATCACCTGAAGCCAGGAGTTCAAAACCATCCTGGGCAACATAGCGAGACCTTGTGCCAAAAACAAACAACAATAACAACAAAAAACCCCCACTAATACTCCAAAATAAAAAATATAATATAAAGATTCTGTGCAGAAAGTTAGATTCTTCCCAAGGAAACTTGTTTCACACTGAAAGGGAAATGAGATGCTAAATTTTTACAAAGGACATATATTTACTCCTTCAGTATGAAATGGCACATGGCAAGTCAAATAAACTCATCACTTCACTTGGTTCCCATTTTATATTTTCCAAAGCTAATGCAAAAATATCAGAAGCTCATTTTCCTAAAGACCCTTTTTAGGACCTACAGGAAGACACACCTAAGAATTTCAGTTGAGTGGGGACTGTATCCCTCCTGAGGGTCAATCCTTGCAGAATAACCAAGCACTCATTCATTCAAAAACTGGATATGAAAGTTGACAATGGAGAAAGAGATCTAAGTTGTGATCATTACCTGTTAAAAATGTCATCATCTTCTCCTCCCCAACCCCAGTAGTTATTAGGAAATCCATTGATGCTGAGAAACTGTTGTTTACTTAGAGCGGATACACCTCCAAAATACTGAACATAAGGCAGGCTGGGGAAAAAACATATACATAGAGGACCAGTGGTTAAGTTTTAAAATGTCTAAAACAAAGCTTGCTGAAAACATACATAGCTTTAAAGTTATTCTTTATTCTCTGGAACCTTCTGATGGGGGATTTATGAGGGTTTTGCTTGTTTTGCTTTTGTGGGGCTCAGGTTATCTTAAAGACACAGATATCAAAAAGTAGAATCTTCTTTCCAAGAATACAGAGCTATTTCCATAGTTAGCTAGAAAATCAGTCAGTAACAAGAGCAGGCATAAGCCCAGCTATTCCAGAGTGGCTGAGGAAATCTGCTTCCTCTGTGCCCCCCTCCTGCAAATGAAGTCCTCTGTGTAGGAGGTCTTGGCATCTGAGATTGTTTTAGCCTCCCTGTGCCCACTGTCTGGTGCTCCCCTCCCGGCCCCACCCTGATCTTATCTACCATTCTAGCTCTTCATTCTTTGGCTTGAACACTTACCCTAATAGATGCAGCATTTCTAGAAATTTGCTAAAATAAAATTTTCTTTGGAATATCTGCTTTTCCTGACTAAACAAAATGCACAATGGTGAACCTATTTTTATATATTTCCAAGCAAGTAGTATGGCACCTGGGTTCTCATCCTTCCAAAACTTTTTGTATTTCAATATTTCAATGGTTATGACTTGTCAACTCCTGAGGAACACAGAATAAGCGCTGATGAGAAATGTCAATAATCAGGATGTGCCCCAAGGCCTTCTGGTGGGTTCTCTAAGGGCTGCAGCTTTGTGTTGACCCTGAGTGTGACTCCACACTCGGCCTCTTACTGGAATCCAAAGAGACCAAAACCCATCACATAAATTAAGGAACACTCTAACTCAGCCTTTGAGGGGGAAGTCAGCCAAACCATATAGAGCATATGAAAATAAAGATGTAATTATTATTTTCAAATACATTTGGGAATTCTGACTGTAAGTGTCCCCAAGCAAAGACCCCTGGAGGCCTGCTTTACTGAACCTGTTGTAACTAGGTGTCCTCACTTCAGTGCCGAGTCATCCACCTTTTGGCACACCCCATGCTACTGTCCACACTTTTAACGTGAGGGTCTGAACCAAAGGTGGCCAGGCCATTGAGGTTTTTTGATATTCAGTGTCTTTACAGAAGTGGCTTCTTAGCCACTTCAACGGGAAGTACATGGGAAATTCACAAGATTTGGTTTTGCTGTCCTGGCTGCTTTCTCAACTACCTGCCCCATTCTCAAACCTGACTGGCTGTCTGTGAAACCAACATGGTGCTGTGGCAAGGAATCAGATGACCACTTGGGCCCCATCCGGGTTCACCACCATGCTTCAAGGCAGGAATTAAGAAGGATCAGGGTATGGACCTGTGTATTTTAAAGAGAAGAAGCTACACAAACAGGGAGGGAGGGAAGACAAAAAGGCAGCGTGCTTTCTGAAGAGTCTAAAAGTGATGTCACATTCAAATCTTTCCCCCTTTAAGACAGCAAGTTTAGGGCCTGAATACCTTTGATCTGGGGAAAGGACGTCAGACACATCTATACTCACATCATGGCCCTCATGCCTCCAGCAAGAGAGGATAGGAAGAAATGATGAGGATAAAAAGAACCTGATACAATGGACTACAAGGCCCTTTCTCACCTATGACAACAGGCTTTGGATTATACCCTAATAGGGCATCTGGGCTGGCCTCTTCACAAGGAGCATTTCGATGGAAATGTTTGGGCTTTGCATTTAAGCAGAAGTCTATGTTCCACTGGGAAAGAGAATCATGTTCCTTCTTAAAAGTGCCAAGGAATATCTGCTGAGGTATCCAAGCTCAAGAATTTAGTGGGCGAACAATTATTCCAATTTGTTTCCCCAACTGTGTGGGGCAGAGGAAAGAACAAAGCAAGAAAATACAGTACGTGTCTAGAACCTAAAACTGGGAGCCTTCCAAAACACTAAAACCTGCTCTTGTCTGTATGTGCAGACTACTTGCATTTCTGGACCCATCTTTCCTTCTCAAATAATAACTGACTTAGAGCTTAAAGAGCACCCATTTCTCAAATGAGGCATCCTTCTCTAGAGCCTAAAGAGACAATCCTGAGCTGAAGGAATTGCATTTCCCAGGCAACATACGAGAGAAACATGCTTACTACAGACTCCAGTTGAACACCTCTTACCTAAATCCAAACTTATCCATTGCAACAGAAATGTGCCTCGGCTGTGAGAAACACCTGTAGGAGTTATGGTCATCCATTGGAATGAGGTCCACGTCGCTAAACACAAAGCAGTTGTAGTCATAGTCCTTCAGGGCTTCTCGAAAGCCCACGTTGAGGAGCTTAGCACGATTGAACATAGATTCTCCAGCCTGGTACAGAAACAAAAACATATCAGATGCCTGAAGGCCTATGGGCAGAACACTCACAGGGACTGGTAACTTGTCCCCTATATATATTTGGGCATTAGTCAACTCTTGGGCCTCATTTTTCTGTCCCCACTTTACAAATCAGAATTCTATACCCTATAAGCCAGTAATCCCACTTTTAGGGATTTAGCCTACAAAAGGACTTGCATGTGTATGAATGACTATGAACAACAGTGTTCACTGTGGAGTGTTCATCATAGCAAAAGATTGCAAGTAACATCGTAAGCATCACTAGGAACTGGTTCAATAAGTCATGGCACATCCATACAATGGAATAGAGCTGTTAACAAAAATTAAGGAAGCTCTAAAAGGAAAGGTGAAAAGGGCATTTAAACATATGTCATTTATTTATACCTATACTATAAAATAGACTAATTCCAGGAAAGATATCCAGGAAAAGTTGACATTAGTTGGGTACCTGTGGGACTTTTCACTTCTACCCTATTTATATAGTTGACCATGGTTTGATTACCACATTGTGTGCCTTCCATGCGTCTTTCTGGCCCTAACCAGGCACCAGAGAAATATGATGAACCCAACTCAATGTCTGCATTCACGGGGCTCACAGTGTAGGGTAGGAAGCAGTGTGGTACGTACCATGATAGAAATAGTGTGTGCAATAGACAAGAGGGACGCCTGTTTCAGGGTGCCAACCCCTGGGTCCCCAAGCACCAAGTCTGCTAGTGCAAAGGCCCTACATATTTTGTTTATTTATCTTGTTTACTTTCAGTCTCCCCCACTAGAATGCAAACTCAATGAAGGCTGAGATTTTTTGTTTTTCATTCACTCCGTTCCTTGAACACTGCCTATCATACAGTAAGAGCTCAGTAAATAGTTGCTGGCTGGCTGAATAAATGAATGATTGATGAATGAATGAATGAATGAATGAATGAATGAATGAATGGATCAAAGGATGGGTTTCAACATACAATGGCAGACAGCAACCCCTTCTGGGAAGCTCCAACTAAAAGGCCCCCTCAGGGATCAGCACAGGGGACTTAGCTCTTATAAACTTCCATGCCCCAGGTTAGTGAGGAAGCCCCAGCATTGACACTGCCACCTCTCACTCTCAGCAGTCCCAAAGCCCTTCTGCACACCTGCTCTCATCCTGACCAGAATCCTCACCATGGCACCATGAAGAAACAAATTAAGACCCAATACCTTTGGGTTCATCACTTAGTGCTCTTCCCCACATCTCCTGGGATGAACAAGGGCCTCTACTTTAGGAAAAAGTGCTCCACAAGGGCCTGCAATCAGTACACAGTCTCAAAAGTGGGACACACAAAGTCCTCTTTCCATGCCCCCAAAAGAGGACTTGGAAACTGGTGCTCCATGCAAGGCTGCCTGTGTGCGTACTGAGCACAGGGACACACCCCAGCCATCCTGCCTCAGTTGGGGGACTCAGGGAAGCAAACCACTTAGGGAAAGACAGGTGCCAGGAGATCAGAAAAAGCAGCCAAGAGAATAGTAAATGAATTAAGGACACATTTTATGCACAAGAGCTCCTTTCTTTACCCCTTCCCCCACCAACACCTCCTAACCATGTGTGGTAAAAGAAGGCTGTGCCCAAAGGCACCTTGTGTTCCTTGGCTGTCCCACTGGCTACGAGTTGATTTAGTTGATTCTGCATCATGGGTTCAAAGAAGTTCTAAGTTTAGAAACTGCATATAAACACTGTGCAGTTGTTAGATTATTATAATCACAATACACTGTTAATATTCATTAAGGGGATATCATATACTAGGCACTAGATAAGTGTGTTTACATGTATGGCATTTCATTTAATCACCTTGACAATCTTGTAACAACTTTCACCCCAACCCAGACTTACATTTCAAACACAATTCTGCCTTATTGAACACTTTTCCCAAAAGTAAAGAAAGGTGTTCCAACAAAGCCTTTTTACACTTGTGTAGCAGATACCCAAGGGAGGCTTCCCAGCTTATGATAACGCTCCCTTCTCTAGGTCATTCCCCAATACCTGGCACAGGGGGCTCCTGGTGGCCATGTCTGTACCACAGGATCTGGCCAGCTGGCCACGATTACCATGTTTCCCCGAAAATAAGACCGACCCATGAAACAAGCCCTAGCAGGATTTCTAAGCACTCGTGCAATATAAGCCCTACCCCGAAAATAAGACCTAGTGAAGGGTGTGGCTACGCAGTGTATCTGCACAACCCATGCATTTCATTGCAGAGTGGTAAAGAAGACTCGCAGCCCTTCTCATTTGCCCCATCGTGACAGCTACTATCCCAGAGGTGTCCGGAAAGGTGTGGTCACCAACAAAGCCCCACCAACAAAGTCGGCTCCCCCTGTCAGGTCCTGATTATCCTGTGCGTGCTGCAAGCTGAGGCTTTGAGAGGAAAATAACACATCCCCTGAAAGTAAGCCCTAGGGTGTCTTCGTGAGGAAAAATAAATATAAGACCCTGTCTTATTTTCGGGGGAGCATGGTATTTGATCAATCGGATGCCTGAGATTGAACTTAGCATTTTTTTCCTTCCAGGAACTGGAAATTTGGAACCATAAATGGGTACCTCTGGAGCCAAGGCCCATGAACAATGGCAGCCTGGAGGAGAAGCCCAAGAAACACACCTAGTTCTACCTCTTTGACCGCAGCTGCTGCCACAGCTCTTCCAACTCGGTAAGGCACCCAGTGTCTGGCCCACATATAGAACTGGCCAGGCAGTTTTCCAAAATAACCTGAACTACACATCATTCCTCTTAACCCTGCTGCCAGCCTGGCCTCATCTGTGTGGTCCAGGTATAAAGCAAGCACATGGTACACTATAACAGGTGACATTACTTGTCAGGGCCCCTGGGAACACCAGACCAACAGAACGGTGGATGAGGAAAGTGTGTCTTCCTCTTCTTTCCCTGGGATTACAGAACAGTAAGTCTTTTCTAGGCTTCTTTGGGTGAAATGCCATAAAACCTGGGCACTCAATCTTTCTTGATAAGAAAGACAGGTCCTGGCAAGCCTATCAATCCCCACCACTAACAGGAGGTGGCAAGACACCCAGCCCTCCTTCCTGCCCCTCCTTGCTGAGCACATTCCTCCAGTGCATCTGACACTTCATTCACTCAAGTAAACATTGATCAAGCATTGTCAGGCCAGGCCAAATACACCATCATGGCAGACACATGCATTTTTATCCCAGGAATGCCAGCTTCTTTACTTATTAACTATGTGAATTTGGGCAAATCACATGTCCAGGCCTCAGTTTCTGTTTTTGAGTCATGCAGATAACAAATGAGATGTACTAAATGAGACAATGCATGAAAAAAATCTTAGCACACTGTCTGGCAACAAGTGTCAGCTACTGTAATTATTAATATTATAGGAAAAGGTTTTCGCATCTATCTTGAACACTCAGACTTTTCAAAATGTCTCTCAGGATCTAACCCAGAAACTCTGCCTTCCGTAGTGTTTCCCATGTCCTTCCCAGTCTCCTTCCCAGTCAGCTTCAAGATTCCTCCCAAATCCTGATTCTCTGATGGAGGGCGACTTTCTAAAAAGGGTTAAGGCTCAAGTGGGTTAGCCTGTGGCTTCACATTTAGAGTCTCTAGCAGCAAAAGAAAGCAAAGAGCCCTCCAGAGACCTGTGAAATGTGGGGGAACTCACGCTTGGTGAAGAGGAGCCAGCATGCAGGGCACAGGTGTCCCTTTGAATGACCCAGTTTTTTAAAGTGTGGGCTTCATCTGAGGTTGGTAAATAAGAGTTATAGTTATCACTTCCTTCTAGGGCAACTGACTGCTCTTAGAGGAAGAAGACAGGAAGAAGAGAGGCCAAAAAATACATATGATCCCGAAATGACTCGGCAAAGTTCGCTGCAGGAGGGGGACCAGAGAAAGCAGGTAGAATCAGACCAGACCCAGACTGCAGAGGCGGTGGTGGGAGAGAGGACAGTTGTAGGAGCAAAGAAAGGCATGCACGGAGAGCACATTTTAAAGGCTGTGGGGAAAAAGAGAACATTTGAGGAACTGCAGAATGAGTGAGGCCAGAAGGCAGAAGTGGGCCAAATTGTTGGGGAGGGAGGGTAGGGGGCAAAGAGGGTTAGGTGCTTGCTAAGATACTTAGGCTTTATCTTTTATTAATATTTAGGCCAAGGGAGTCTTAAACTATGTTTTGCATTTCAAGGAGGGATTTGTGCCCCAACCAAGTGAAGGCAGGGCGATCAGTTAAGAAGCTATTGTTTGATTCCAGTGAGAGACAGGCCTAGGCTATAATGGTGGTTAAGTAGAGAACGCCTCCCCTCAAAGGCTAAAGGCAGAGGCTCCACTTCCCATCTCATTCTTTACCTGCTCTCTGGGGATGTGCACTGCACGTGCAAGCAGCCTTTGTGGGGGGTTCAGGGCAGGTACCAGAGTCTGGTCCAATCCCCAGGAAAATCCTAAATGTGGTTAAGGAAGGTGAGAGTGGCCTTCCCCTGATTACAATAGGGCACAGATGGCCAATGACAGGAAGCCATGTCCCACCTTGTCCTAACAGTCTCTGGAAGGTCCGTTCCATCCCTCACCCAGGCCCATGTGTGTACACCAACAGACACATCCCAGATCGTGATGGCTTAGGGACTGGCCATACCTGGTCTCTCCTCCACCAAAGGACACAGCAGTAACGCGGCTGGACACATCCACCTGAAGCCAAGACTCCTGATGGATCAGAATTTCTCTGTGATGGGAGAGACACTGGGGCTCCCACACATCACCCTGGCCTATCACAAAGCCACCCCGCACCCTACCATGCACGCAGTTACTCCCAGTCTCTGAACACCACAGACCCATGGGCAGGTTTGCAGCCAGTGGCAATGTTTGCTGAAACACCCTCTGCGCGCTCTTCTGTGCCCACTCAGCCATTAGGAGGAAGGAGCTGGGCTGAGCGGGTTGCAGGAAAGCCATCACAGATGAGAGGCCGAGAAGCTCGGACGAGGCATTCCTGCAGCC